AGAGACAGGGTCTCACTATGTTGCCCAGGGTGGTGTCGAACTCCTGGCCTCAAGCGATCCTCCTGCCTTAGCGTCTGCATCCAGCCAAAATATTCCTATGAAATAGTAATGTCTCATCCAAGCATGGTGACTAATCCCAGCACTTTAGGAGGCTGAGGCAGGAGGATCGCTTGAGGTCAGGAGTTCAAGACCAGCATGGCCAACATGCTGAAACCCCATCTCTACTAAAAATATAAAAAATTAGCCAGGCATGGTGGCAGGTGCCTATAGTCCCAGCTACTCGAGGGGCTGAGGCAGGAGAATCACTTGAACCCCAGAGGCAGAGGTTGTGGTGAGCCGAGAGTGTGCCAATACGCTCCAGCCTGGGTGACAGAACGAGATCTTGTTTCCAAAAAACATAGTAATGTCTCTGGGAGCATTGAGAGTTTCCCAAACAGCTTCCTAAGACTAGGACCCTTCTGAAATGGCAAAGTTGGAACCACGTGACCCAGAAACTGGAAGAAGATGGGTGGAAAGAACTATTTCAAGAGTCAGCCATTTGTAGTCTTGGGATTGCCCTCACCTCAGATAAAGTTGACCTCAAATGACGAACCACTGGCCTCATTTCAGAGCTCTCTCACATTCATCTTTTTACTTTTTTTTAAGTTTCTCTTTTCTCCTCTTTATTTCCGTGTCCTTCCTCCTCAATTCCAACCGCCCTTCTCTATTTTTGCGCAGTGTAGAAAAAAGTTTAAGGGGGACCTCAGGCAATAGAAAGCCAACCAGTGGCTGGAAGGGTCTGGCAAGGAACTGCCATTTGCTTCAGTGTCCTCGCCAATAAAATAAAGACTTCTATTGGAGCAGTTACAGAGACTAAACTAGATGATAGAAGGAAAGCTTTAACACAGTGTACGGAAGGCAGTAGGTGATCTCCTGCCCTCTCTCCTCCTCCCGTTGTCTAATGATCACTTCCACTAGAATCATAGTGTGACTCACCACCGAGAGTTTCATTTTGGGCAAAGCCACAAAAAGAACCAGCCTAAATCCTTGATTCTCCCCTTTGAGAGTACTTAGAAGGAAGTGACTCCTCGTGTTGGATAGAGCTCCCTGATCACCTTTCTGGGAGCTGTGGCATCGCTGTGCAGAAGGGAGCAGCTGCCCAAATGAAGACATTGCCAGGGGCCAGTCACAGCCCCAGTTTGGAGTATTCAATTCTATGAGATTGTCCCCCAGCCTGTTCTTTCAGTCCCAGAAGGTGGGGAGGAGAGGAAAGGTTTACAGGCTAATAAAACAAACAAGTGCTAATTGAAGACCGATTTCATCAATATTAATCATGTTTTATTACAAAGGAGTTTATACTTGCACAGTGTTCCTGAGCAAGCCATTTGTCACCACTTATCGAGAATATGGAAGGTTTTGAGTAAGGAGAACTAAAGCGAATACAGCCACAGCTATCCAGAGAGAAACCTTTCATAAATCTTTGAACTTTAGAGCCAAAAACTAATCAAATCTGTGCTGAATAAGCAGCCTTGAGCGCTTAACAACAAATTAGCACAACCCAGAAGACAGTGTGCCTCCCAAGCACCGTAACCTGCCCTTCACCCTCCTCCCTGGGGCAGGAAACAGGCATTTATAAATCAAAGGCAAGCTGCAAAGGATAATCTACCACCTATCACTGATTTATTTTCCCTCTTTTTGTCTTTCAAGAGTATAAGTTTCAAGGTCTGTGTATTTGATTTTATTATTTTGGCAGGCTACTGAAAGTTTTTAATGTAAAAAAAACTCTTACTCTTAAAGAACAACCAACTCTATTAACTTGCATAAGAAGGCAGTTCTTAAAGACAATGGTCTAATTAGCAGTCTTTGAAGCCAATTCAATAGTAATATCAAAGCCACTTCTAATATTTCAAGCCCAAATTTAGAAAATGGCCTTGATAGTTTCAATCTAAAATTATAGTGTGACCTTACTATTAATTTTGAAACACACCATAATTTAGACAACTGCTGAAATCACTTATGTTATGAACCTGGAAATCACACCCCCTTAAATTATACATCACACCAATTAAAATTAACTGTAAAATCCATTTCGTATTGATTTTGTTTGAACTGGTATTTAACTAAGATGCTTACATCCATAAATATTGCCACAGCTGTAGGTACAACAGTTTTGTTGAATCCATTGATACTTTAAGTTGAAACAGCATACATTATAAGTTTTCTTTGGTTTCACTGAGAAGAAGGCCAAAGGATTTTTCTAGCAATATTTCAACGAAATGCAAAATTAGATGCCAGTCCAAAAGTTTCATGGATGTGAAATGTTTTGAAAATACAGATTTTTGGCCGAGTGCGGTGGATCATGCCTGTAATCCCAGCACTTACTGAGAGACCGAAGTGGGTGGATCACCTGAGGTCAGGAGTTCAAGGCCAGCCTGATCAATATGGTGAAACCCCATCTCTACTAAAAATACAAACACTAGCCGGGTGTGGTGGCATGCACCTGTAGTCCCAGCTACTCAGGAGGCTGAGGCAGGAGAATCGCTTGAACCCGGGAGGCGGAAGTTACAGTGAGCCGAGATCGCGCCACTGCATTCCAAGCCTGGGCAACAGAGTGAGACTTTGTCTCAAAAAAGAAGAAAAGGAATTACAGATTTTCAGTTGTTTCCTAGCTGTAACCAACACGTGTGTTTAAGTGAAGGCAGAAGGCAACCTGGTACATCTCTGCTGAGTACAGTGTT